CCCGTGTCTGTCTGTCTGTCTGGGATGATTTCACTACACGAGATGCACATTTATGTCACGACGGTGTTACAGCAAAGCAAAGTCATTTACCAAAAAGTCTGTTTATTAAGAGAAAGCGATCGTCAGAAATCCGTCTTTCGTCCTTTCCGGGAAGTCAGCGGATAAAATCATTGTTATAAGATAAGGAGAGGAAATCGCCATCGACTCTCCATTACAGTCCGTGCATTCTACACCCCAATCATACAATGCAGCCGTCTCTGCTCCCCCATGGAGTCCTGTGCTTTACGCAGCAGAGAGAGAGATCTGATTGGAGGAGAGACGGTCATGTGACTTTGTGAGCAGAATCTCCTCGCGGCTGTTTTTTTAATTTTTCCACTATTTTTATGGCGCTCCCCCGGGCTGGGATTCCCGAAGCCAGCGCAATGCAATGCACATTTGTAATGCACACCGCCTCCTCCCCATGCAGTCTCCCGCATTCCTGGGTGCAGCGTCACCGTCCATCCGGGACGACTCCTGGGGAATGCAGAGCAGATGAAATCTCACCGCAGGACACTCCGCTCCCTCGCCGGACGTCTTCTCACGAGATTTCAGGTGCTCCATATTCCCCGTGATCTCCCCGCGGTGTGACGTCATCCTAGGCAACGCAGGTGGAAGATGGGGAGGAGGCAAATATACGCACTTCTGCCTCTACAGGTCCATTGTGCACTAATAGTAGCCGATTTGTAATGGGGGGAGGGGTTCTGATAGCATAAATGGACTTTGTATTTTACCACGAGGTGCACTTTAAATTGGTCCCTTATTGTTAACTGGTTGCTACAGCGAACTACCATTGTAGCAGCCTGCATAGGTGCGTTCCGGTGCGCTGCGACTTGGGTCGTGACCTAATGACCGGAGGACAATTGTGGGCCCTGAGGTTACACGGGTTGAGAACCTCTGATCTATACGGAGTGCTCCTGTCCATTCATAAACTGAGGAGATAGTATGCGTTACTATGTCCACAATCATGAATGAACAGGAAGTGATGTAGAGCTTCCTGTTCATTCACAACTGGGGACACAGTTAACATACTATCTCCTCAGTTTATGAATGGACAGGAGCACTCCGTATAGATCAGAGGTTCTCAACCCGTGTAACCTCAGGACCCACATTTGTCCTCGGCCATTAAGTCGCGACACAAGTCGCACAGCATTAGGGTACCGCACGTTCTGGTGCGGGTGGACAAACTGTGGTGTGGGAGGTGCGTTTGGGGTACCATTTAATTGAATGGCAACGCAAAACACCTCCCCCACACCAGAATTCACGGTAAGGCCTCATTCACACACAACGCAAGAGCAAAATTGTATATTGCGTGTATACGCATGTATGTGCGTGTATGCGTGCACTATATGCAATCCCAGAATGCATCATTTGTAATAGGAATTTTAAAGAACTACGAGGTCAGTGTTTTTCCCAATCGTTCTCCTCAGGGTAACGGGAGGACACAAACTAACGTCCTCCCATTACCCTAAGCTCAGGATATAGGGAGCTACAGCTCGCGGTATACTGAGACGCCGCAGCCGGAGCGGATCCCGACAATTGTGCCGGGATCCGCCCAGCTGCGTGAGTGACAGCTGGCTCTGCCTATCTAGAGGCAGAGCCAGCTGTACCCGGCCCCTCCCCCGTCCGTTCCGCCAGTCAGCGCTGGAGGAACGGAGCGGGGAGGGAATCCCTGCAGGGAGCGGTGAGTAACAGTCAGTGCTCTCTGCAGGGACAGGATTGAGAAGTGAGCGAGCAACGGTATGTGTTCCCGATCTACTGAGCCGACGTGTGACAGTCTCATTGTCACAGGTCGGCTAGAACTATGAGGCGTGTAAATCATCTCATAGTTCTCCTTTAATGAACTGTACTCGCGTACGTGCATATACTCGCGCGATATATATATGCATGTAAAGTACGCAGGAATACGCTGCCCGGACGCATCTCGGCTCCATTC